TCGCGGGCTCTTACATCCGGACAAGAGCGGTCGGGTCGCGGCGTGCCCCGCGGCGGCGAGGGCGGCGGCGACGGTGTGGGGGGAGACCTGCGGGGAGGGGCGGGGGGCGGGCTGGGGGGGCTGGGGGGGGGCTCAACAAGGGAGGGAGGGGGGGGAGGGAGGGAGGGAGGGAGGGAGGGAGGGAGGGAGGGAGAGAGAGTAAGCGTGCGCGAGACTCTCTGCGCAACGGTGGGGAGGAGGGCGTGGCAGAGGCGGGGCGGTGGGGAGGAGGGCGGCGGGAGGTTGTGCTTCCTGCTCGGGTCTTAGCGAGGCATAGAGCTCGAGGGCGCGGGCCCGCTGGCCGAGGCGGGTGAGGGCGCGGAGCGCCGCCGCCGAGGCCCACGCGTCGGGCTGCAGCGAGAGCGTCTCGAGCGTGTAGATGGCGAGCACCATCTCGGCGGCACGGACGGGGTCAGAGGCGCGCTGCGCTGCGGAGAGCGCGGTGTTGAAGGCGACGGAGGAGGGCTCGACGGAGTCGTCGGCGCACATGGCCTTGAACGTCTCGACCGCCGCCTCCGGCTGGCCGGCCCGCGCGCACGCGCAGATGGCCGAGGAGAAGGAGTAGCCATCGCGCGGAAGGCCGGCGGCGCGCATGTGCTCGAGCAGCACCAGCGCGCGCTCCCACTCGGCGGCGTCCGAGAGGGCGGCGAGGACCACGTTGCAGTGGATCGTCTCCGCCGATGAGGGAGCCTCGCGAAGCGCCCACCACAGCAGGCCGTGCGCGCCGTCCCAGTCGGAACTCGCCCGCAGCGCGCTCAGCTGCTTGCGGAGCTCCCGCCCGTCCGCGACCGCCGCCGCCGCTGCCGGTGGCGGGCCGCCGCTGCCACCGAGGACGATCAGGCCGCTCGAGGGAAGCCTGACGGCGCGGCCTGAGCCAGAGGCGAGGCAGGCGAGCAGCAACGTCCGCATCGATGGGCGCAAAAGAAATAAGCTGGCAGCCGCTCCCAGTCTCGAGGTGCCGAACTGAGAGGCACTACTGGAGGCTACCTCCGGCCACCGCTCGACTACCAAGGCACATGGCCGGTCCTGTGGCTTGCCTGGACTCGCTCAGAAGCCTCAATTCGCGCACACCTTTGCTCTCTGGCTCCCGCGAGTGCGTTCAGGCCACTCAAGCAGGCGACGCCAAGCACCCGCAATGCATCTCGCCGGGGCGCCACCTATCGACCCGACTGATTGGCAGCATCAAATCCGACCCCATGACGGTCCTTCAGCCCCACGAGACAGGCAGTTGCGCCCTGATCTCGGTCCAAGACGGCCAACGCCGTGTCCGGCACCTGCTGGCTGCTTTACGTGGAGCACTTGGAGTGCAGTCAGTAACCGCAC